TCCCTACACCCCGGGCCCAGGTCACTCATGGGTGGAGGCTGGAGGCTGGGGATAATTGCCCTTCCCCACGGGTAAAAATTATTTTTCTTGATGTTTGATTTCTACGTGCAACCAGAAGCAAACGTGAAGGGGCTCATGTGCGTGTGAAATAGTTGTGCGTTTGTGGGATGGCTCTGTGGGACCAGGAGCAGGCAAAGACCTGACACCTGGGGTAATGTCTGATACCTCAAACACAAATGAGATTACCATTTGCTTAATTTTTTTTCTGTTCTGGGGAAATACTTGAGAGTGAACTTAAAGCCATGCAAAAGAATTGCTCAGTATTTACCTGCCCAGAGATGCTCTCTTGAACCAGACCCACAGGGACCTTATATTGATTATGGGTTTTGGTTTGCTGCAGAATGATGGAGTTGTGTCAGTGAGAGGCAGCAGGTACCACAGAATCTTATCCCATGGCGTGTCCTTGGAGCATCTTAGCCCAACTTTACAGGGTATGAGTAATGCTTTTAAAAACACCAAAACAATAAAATCCACAAAATAACCTAATCACCTTATGCTGTTTGGTAACTTGTTTATTTTGCATCTACAGCTTACAGCTGTTTTCTTTGAACATATTCCCCTATGGAATTTGCTATGGCACAAGAGTTGGGATGGGAAGGGTTTGACCAGCAGAGCAAAGCCACTTTCTTCTCAGTTATCAGAAACAGGGAAGCTGTGTAGAAGCCGCCTGTACATTGCTGCCTCTGAGAGGGGTTTCTGGAGGAAATGGGGTTCACTGTGCTCCAGGAGCCTGACCATTGCTGCCTTCCTCTGGCTCCGGGTGCTCAGGATGCAGCACCTCTGAGGTGCTGAAGGAAATGAGGTGGTGCACCTGTGCAGCCAGGAATCTGGCTGATGTGGCAGTGCTGGGATTTCTGTGGGCTTTGTGGCCTGGCTGGAATAAGACAAAATTTATGCATGTATAGCGCTGTCTGCTCAAAGCTCTGCAAACAGTAATTAAGTTGCCTAACATGGCTTGGCAAGTGTTAGTGTTGAAATCCTCTTGCTGTGGTTAAATTGAGGGACCAACAGGGCTTAAGAGCTTCCAGGGTGAACCAACAGCAGCAAAGGTGCTGGGTCTCCAGCGTCCTGGCTCTGAAGAACACCACTGCCTCTTCCTGGTTTAAAAAAAACCCTGTGTGAGGCTCAAGGCCTCCTTGAACCCCCTCCCTGTGCCCTCAGAAGTGTCTGAGGAGCAGAGGGATGCCCCTTGCTGGAGCAATAGAAGAAAGCTACAAGTCCGGTTCCCTCCTTAAAACGCAGAGCCTTTGGGTTTGGAGGCTGTAGAAAGGGGATTTGAATTTCTTAAAGCAACCCATTTAGCTTCCAAAATAAAAACTGGGTTTGCATGTGTTTTTTTAATTAGAGCTGGGGCAAAACACAGTCTCAGGTCAAAACAGAGCCTCAGGCTCTGGAAACAGCACAGTGCATTGATCTGAATCTGAATTTTGGAAAGGAGGGAAAAAAGCCTCCATTTACTAGCAAATCCCTGGGTCTGAGCAGCCCTGAAGCTGCAGGTGTTGAATATTCAAAGAGCTGATTCACCACACTGAGCTCTGGGCTCGGTGGGGTGCTGCTAAACCCAGTGCTGTAGGCGGGTGACACTGTGCCCCTGTGTCAGCCACCCTGGGCTTTGAGTGTGCAGCCGTGGAATCTTCATGCGGGGGTTCTGCTGTGGCACTGGGATCTCTCCCCCCCAAGCCAGGTACCAGCTCATTCCTCTGCCACCCTCTGGCCTGTCCCACACCACTGGCAACTGTCGCATCAAGTCTGACATTATTCGTGCTGGGATAAGCTTGCAGTGGTTTATCAAGCTCCAGACATCCATCCAGATTTGGCACTTGGTCCTTTCATTTCTGTTCATGCCATTAGTCCCAGATTCCTATTAATCACATAGATTTTCTCTTTAAAAGGGAAAGAAAAATCAACTTTTCATGACAGGAAACAGGCAAGTTGCATGACTAGAGAGAGGAGCATTAACCTTTCCTTTAGCCTGAAGAACTTAATAATATTTTTTTAATGTACTTTTTATTAATTTTGGAGTGATGCTTAATGACTGATAGAAGCACTGGCATCACTAGGGGAACTCTTTGCAACTTCTCGTGTATAATTAAAGGTCATGCCTAAAGTGCACGTACCTGTAGGTGCTGCTGGGGCCATCTCCCCTGTTGCAATGGCACATTGATGCCTTCAGCAGGGCCTGAACCGGTGAGTTTACAGCCCCCCACATCCCACCTTCAGCAGGTTTTGTCCCTTTGGAAGCTCAGCAGTGACTGCTGCAGTGCTTAGGCTGGTTTTGGCCTCTACAAAAGCTGTGGAATACAAACAAATATAAACAGGGGCTTGCGAGAACCTGGGGTGCAGAATGGCCTGCAAGGGACTGAAAAGCCAGCCCACTTGCTCACAGCTCCCCTTGGAGCACACTGTGGCAGAGGCAGCATGATGGAGATTTGATTTAGGGAGCAGGTGCTGCAGCTGTGATGGTGGGACAGGGCACCCCTTGAGGCCAGGGGCACCGAGAGAAGAATCTGAGCATCGTCAGGAGATGCCACAGTGCTCATACCCCTTGGTGGCCTTGTCAGGAGGCTCATTAGCAGACAAATGAGGTGGCCACTGGATTTATTAACAGCACCCAGTGTGCAAATTTAATTTTCCTTCTCACTGCACTCCAGCAGAGTAATTGGACATATAGTCCAGGGACTAAGGACGAGGTCAGTTATTTGTCTGGCAAATACAATTATACATATTTGCCATTTACCACATTCCCTGGCTGTGTCCCGCAGTGTCTTGCCCTACAGAAAAATCCTGGAGCACGAGCCGGAAATGCGCTCCCTGTAATCCAGCCCAAGGGACCATTTCCTTGGCCAGAGCATGGCCAAAGAGCAAATCTGCAAGGTGGGTGAAGCACTTCTCTTCCCTGAGTGATGGGAAGCCCCTTGGGGGAACACTGGTGGGGTCTGGGGGGGTCACCATTGCCACCCCCTGGGGCCATGCCCTTTAAGATCAGTGTTGGGTGCTGTCATGACAGTTCCAGGATGCTGAGCCCAGCACTT